ATCTGAACAATCTGTGGTATGGAGGCAATAAATAGGTTATAGCCACCGGATCTTTGTTCATTTTACTGTAAACTTTCTATTGATAATGAGTGACAATAGTGCGAAATTAATGTTTCTAGCTGCATAAATGGATAATTTATAACAAAAAATCTCATATCTGAACAATCAGTTGTATGGGAGATATATGTTATAGTCACCCGATCTTTGTAATTTTCACTGTAAGTGTTCTGTTAGTAATGAGTGAGAACGGTGCGAAATTTCATGTTCCTAGCTGCATAAATGGAGGAGCTATGATAAAAGGCCTCATATCTGAACAATCAGTTGTATGGGGGCTACAGGTTATAGAGATCCGATCTTTTTTATTTTCACTGTGAGTATTCTGTTAATAATGAGTGAAAACCGTGCGAAATTTCATTTTCCTAGCTACGTAAATGGGTGAGTTATAACGAAAAATCGTATATCTGAACAATTGTTGATGGAAGCTATAGGTTATAGTGACCCGATCTTTGTAATTTTCACTGTAAGTATTCTGTTGATAATGGGTGCAAGTACTACAATATTTCATGTTCCTAGCTGCATAAATGAAGGAGTTATAACGAAAAGTCTCATATCTGAACAATCAGATGTATGGGAGCTATATGTTATAGTGGTCCGATTCTTCCGGTTCCAACAAATGATTAATACAATATAAAAATACACCCACTTACCAAATTTCATCAGGATATCTCGAAAACTGAGAGACTAGATTGCATACAAACAGACGGACAGACAGACAGACAGACAGACGGACATCGCTAAATCGACTCAGTTCGACGTTCTGATCATATAAGTATACATTGTAATGGGTCTATCTCTTTTTATTCTGGTACTTACAAACATCGGACCAAAGTTATAATACCATTTCATGCTCATGAAAGGTATACTAAATTAATATGTCTCTAACAACGATGGTCGTCCCTCGGCAGGTAGTGACAAACCTCCGATTGTAAACCTGCCATGAAAAAGGTTCTCATAAGATCCATTTGCCGTTCGGAGACTCCATATAACTATAGGTTCATTTATTTGTGTAACAAAATCAAGACGAACTTTTGATAGAAGTTAGGTACTACCTACAAAAAAAAAAAAAAAGTTAATTTTCTGAGAAAGTTACTTTTCCTTTTTGCTTAGTGAAGCCGCGTAGCATTAGCATTAGCTTCGAATTTTATCATTTTTCTGATTTACTTATAGTCTCTTTAGGGGTATTTTTAAAATGCAGTTGGTTTTTTAAGTATAAATGTAATTTTTAATTAATCATTTTTGGATTTTCATGATTGTAAAAAGATGTATTTTGTATCACATATCTAGATATTTAAAAAGAAAACATACATAATTATTAACCAAAATATGTACAGTCGAAAATGAAAAAGAAAGTAAAGTACATTTTCAACTACTTGTCAAGAGTTCACATGATAAAGTATCCTAACGAGATTTCCAATCCGACAGGTAAAAGACTTTTCCGTCAAATCTTTAATTTTACTGTAACCTTCACTTTTATGTCTAAGCATGCAATTTGTATTGAAAGTGTCGAAATCTCTTTGGCCTTACTATCCATTTTTGTTTCACCACAAAAGGAGTAGTACTATAATGCCAGAAAATGACTATTCCTTTTCTTTAATTTTTGCACAATTCGTTCCACTCCAATTTTGCCAAATTAAAGCAAAGCCTAACTGCTTCAACTATTGTCAATTTGCATGATTGCTGAGCCCTCCTGTTGTGCTTCTTTGCAGTATTCTTTTGCGCAGTGTGAGAGTTCAACCCTAGGAAAATTTCGCCAATTTTGCAATTAAAGGAAACGTACTGTTTTCACTTTTACTAAGTTTCTATTGTACGTTTGGAGATTGAGATAGGTAGATATTTTTGTTGTTGTACTCTTGAGATGTAAGACAAGTTGATCTTTCAAAATCAAACTACACATATGTATGTGTGTAGAATATATGTATGTATATGTATGTATGTAAATGAACATACATACATACATATACTTACTAACTGACAACATAATTAGAGGAGAAAGCTCGGCAAAATTAATAAATATGTTTACAGAAAAAGGTTTTCCTAAAAGCAGGCGAATGTACCAAAGGAATCAATGCATGTTTTATACCAGGGCTGGGAAAGGCCAAGGCTCAAAAGAGCCACATGTAAATGCTAAATGCTACAAACAGCCACAAAAAAACAACAAAAGCAAAAATTTTATTTTTATTTTATACGTATACGTATGCTATGGAGATCCGTCGTAATGCGGATTTTTCCCAATAAACATTTTTGTTAATTCTCAATCTGAGATGCAATTTAGAATCAGTCATTTTCTCAAATCTTAAACGTTACTTGTGAAATGCATCTAAAATAACCGTTAACTTCTCAAACCAATACTTCTCAAACTAAAACGTACATTTATAATAAGGAAATTTCCTTTATTTTCAAATGGAGATATATTGATTTCTAAACATTTTCTCAAACGTGAGAGGAGCGGAACGAAATGAAATCCAGTTACTCATTGAAACATTTGTATAGCGTTGCCAATGATGCATGCAAAAGAATCACACAGGTTTAACAGAAAAATATTTTTTTGGTGGGTTTATTGCATTTTCAATAGAGCATAAGCACTTTTTCATTTTAAGCAGGCAAATTGTTGGTCACTATCGAGGCAGCAGAGTAGTTTCCACTTTCAATTTGCACCTTCTCTATCTATCTAAGTTCTCTGGCGGCTGTTAGGAAATGCGAAAAAATATCGAATTGGGTAAAAATTATGAATCATGTTGAGCACCCTGCACCCTATCATAAATTCGAAATAGTAAAGACATGCACCTTTTTGTTGCGAATTATGACTTTTCCCCTACTGATCAATTGAGGTAATTTTAATCATCTGGCAACTCCATAACAAACAGCCGGTTCGCAAACTAGCATACATATGTATGTACATCAGACAACTTATAAGTTGTTATAAATTCTCTATCATTACATATAATTCAATTACCGCGCAGTTACAACCAGGGTTGTGCCTCTAAAATATTAACATTTACAACAATTCTTTACTTGTAAATAATGTAAATATTTACAGGTTGATATTTTTGGTGTAAATAATGTACATTTGGTGTTTCAGACAGAGTTGTGCATTTAAAATATTTACATTATTTACAATAATTCTTTACTTGTAAATTATTGTGAACAATGTAATTTACAATTTACAATTTTTTACAATAATTCACAATGTAAGTGTAAAAAATGTGAAAATTTGTGTAAGTGCACAACCCTGGTTACAATCTATGTACCACATTTTTAGAAAAGCAATCGCCCTTTCTTTAATCCTTTGAGTACAAAAAACCAGCCGCTGAAGCTAAAAATCTGACCGTTTGTTTACACGCTAATTTTTGAAATACAATAAAAAAACGTTATAAAATTCTTAGTTTTACCGTTATTCATCGTCCATTATATTGGACGTTGGTACACTAGGATTGTAAACTGGGAAGTGATATCAATAATTTTCCTTTTTTTCTTTTCCGAAATATATTATAAAACTGAGAATAACGTTTAAAAAATTTTTCGGATCTCAATTTCACCGAAAATTAGTTAATTTTTTTTCCTATATAACTATTACACTGTTCACTATGGACTTTTGTGACACCTTTCACTTTAGTGAAAAAACGCAGTCAACTGCATCCCAAAAATACAATCATGCAGGTTCTGCAATTCACTCCCGAGTAAATTTCAATCCCTGCCAATTTGAGTTTTGAGAGAATTTTACTGAATATCACTGACAAGTGAATTGCAGATCTTCAATATGCCAGGATAGGCATCATCGATCATTTACTAAAAGACTTCGACAACTACAAGAAAACGGTTTTCATCGATCATTTACTAAAAGACTTCGACAACTACAAGAAAACGGTTTTATCAGCTTTTAAAAACTTCGTATTAAACCATCTATTTTCTGAATTTTTCCAGTAAATTGAAAAAAAAATCACTTTTTACCACATAAGCAAAAAAAACTGGAACAACACAGATCAGTAGCTCGTTTATGTAACTATTCTCTACCGATTATTTCCATACTGGTAGAGAATGTACGTCATTCTCTACTACTCATTGGTAGAGAATTGTTACAGAAACGAGCTAATGATTCAAGGTGTTTTTAACAAGGTTGTGTTGGCCGTATATAAGTAAAAAATTACACTAACAAATTATACGCTGATATCCATACTGTCATTGGTATGAGTTACAACAAACACAACATTCTCACGTAATGCCCTCCACGGCGAAAAACTCAGCTGTCGCCCCAACACCACCGTGTTAAATGCACCTTGTACTGATCTTTCACATATAATGCTATTAAACTACAAGGCGAATTCTAATGAGATGGTGTTACTAGAACATATGATTTGATTTACCTTGATACACAAATGTCATAATTTTACAACGCTAAAGTGAGTAAATTTGAAATTGAAAGTGTTTGTATTTTTTCTTCATATTCTTCCTTGAGAGAAGAGTAAAAGAACATACACATGTTCTTTGGAAGAATAGCTGAAATTGGACTCTTTGTACCAAAATCAAAAACAAAATGCATTAATTTTTTGTTTTTGTGCTATCGACACCACCTAATATGAATTCGCCTTGGCAGACTACTAATTCACCTATGTAATTGCTGCATGCACACCAAAATTGAAAACACTACTCAAAGCGAATTCATACAAGGTGGTTCCGGTAGAGCAAAAACAAAATTTACAACAACAAATTATACGCACAATGACAGCGAGAAACACAACAAATGTACAACAAACAATCATTTAGACATTTAGAAGAACTGCTGCCAAAATCTCCCTGTTATGGTAACACCACCTTGTATGAATTCGCCTTGACACTACTCAATTCTACTCAACTACTTTACCCACAATATTTACTTGAATGAGTAAGAAAAATTCCACTTAATACCTTCATGGAATTTTTGAGGCACTTTCCTTGACACTTACCAAATTGACTGCGCATCCAGGGATACAAGGGCGAAGGCATCCCTGATGACTGCGAATTTGGATTTTGCGATGGTGGTGTATGCTGTCCGGGATGACCTTGATGCATCTGTGGTGGTCCTTGCGCTGGGTGCATCATTGTTTGTGGTGGACCGCCAACAGGCGGAACGCCTGTTTGTTGTTGGCCGTACAGACTCATTTGATGATGATTCTGGTGAACCTTTAGAATAAAGTTTTAAAGCATTACTTATGACCATAGTTTGTGTAAATACCTGTGGTTAAAATCAATAATCGCTTATGTATACCACCTTATTCTCCTAAAAAGCCTACATACATACATATTTATGTAGGTGAAACTCCCTAACTTCATAACGCACTTTCGCAAAAAGTTGTTCATGTAAAACATAATAGCTTAAGGGCCGGTTGTTCAATGCTGATTAGCACAAATCGTAGATGGAAGGTCCGGTTAAATACAACGACTGCTTTATCGATCACATGTTATATGCATGATGTCGAAAACGTCGATAATGATGTTTAACCGGGAAGTAGTGAAAACCAGACATTGAACAACGGCCCTAAATCGTCATTTCCTCCACCCTATTATATTCATGGTGTCGAAGATGACGATAACGATGTTTAACCTGCAATTAGTGGTGACCAGATATTGAGAACCCGACCCTTAGGGCTGTATTCTCGACTACCTGCTGAAAATTGACGCTCGGTTTGGTTTATCGACTTTTTATCGATTGCCTGTTATAAGGATGGAGCGACAAATATGTCAAAGCACCGGTGATCTTTAATAGGTAGTCTAGAAAACACCCCTTAGAATGATGTTTTGATAACCATTATTTTCTTAAAAATGGCGGTAGTTGATATTGGAGCTTAATTTGCTTGAATAAAGTCGAAGTGAAAACAGGCGATTATAGTAGATTGAGAATATGCAAATGCGATCAGTGGCATATTCAGTTATCTTTACAAAAACACAAGTAAAACAAACGTCTGACTGGACATACATACGTTATTTCTTCTATTATTTATTTAATGTTTTGCAATAAGCACTGACTTTGATTTTTTAAACGACTTCAGAAAAGGAGAAGGTTATCAATTCGTCAAAATTATTTTTTTATGTATGTTGCCGCATGTGGACCACGTGAACCGATTTCGATAAGGGGCTCTCATACTAATTTGGATCTAAATCCGATTATTGGATCATGAAGAAATTAACGGTACTTCTAAGTTTTTATGTATTTAATGATTTCTAGATTTTAAAAAATATTTCACTGCATCCCCAATGCACTCTTTTTTTAAAGAATGTGTTTCAAATATATTATAGAGGTTTCCTCATAACTATGATTTTCTACTTAAGCGACTATTGCTCATGATCACAGACACATATATGAACAAGTAAAACATGACTCATTTCTATACTAGTCACGAACACAACAATTGGAAAACAACTTAAGTTTAATGGTAACCCATTGAATTAAACAAACCAAAAACCTTTATACGAATATTATGTATACAATACTTTGCTACAACATTGACTGAGAATCACTGATAGCCCTTCTTACCTCATTTACATCTGGAACTCCAACATCATTGTAACCCAACTGCGATAGTGAAAAACATAGAAAATTGATTTGCTTTAAGTTGAATAGAAAAACATTGTTTTGCAGGCATGCAATGGTATTCCAAAATAATATTATTAATCGGAAGCTACAATTCATTTCAGCGTCTTAACTTTTTGCTACACAGAAATTGACAAATATCTCTCATACCAACGAAATTCAAATAATTACCTTGTTTATATCTACTCACGAACCGCATTAACAAAAAAAAACGATTTGACTCAACATATGTATAGGTACCTCTGTCTTTGTAGCGCACTTGATGAAGCCGTATTCAAAAGTACACAAAATCTGCTATTTTTATACGGCATTTCTTTAATAATTCATTTGCGCGGTTGATGCGTTTATACTTGTTTTTTTTTTTTACTAATTTGAGAAATAAAAAACCGTTTTGAAAACAAATTAAAGTTAATACACTTTTCAATTTCAACGAGTTTTGAAATTTAGTTTATGAATCCGTTTTGAATAACAGCGAACTAAGTCAAAGCGCTTTATGTGTCGTATAAACAAGGTATATGATTGTTTTGTGTGTTTTAAAATTTTTATGTTTCTGTCAAACAGTGTAATCTTTGGCAAATAAATGATAATACCTTCACGTTATTAATCCATCACATTTAAAGAATTGACTACAGTGGGAAAAAAAACTTGCCTTTATGAGTTCAGCGCCAAACGCAACTAAACTGATTAGTCGACATCGATTTCAGTTTTTCATTGGAAATGTACCATTGGTAGAAGGGGGAGGTTGAGCAAACGCTGTGAAATTTTCTATGTATTATGTATTTTTACATTTTCCTCTCTAACCCCAACATTTTTTTTCCACCTGCCTCGAAACACTGTGCGACGCGTCGTGCCATGAAGACGTGAAAATAAACCTATATATTACATACGCGCCTAGCAGAATAAGTCATATTATACTTACAATATCTACTTATAATAACACAGCCAGACAAAGTTTCAGAACCAAAAACCTGTTGATACTTCTCCGAAGGTTTTCGGTGCCCTAAATTCGACTCTCTACTCAAAATTTCTCTGTTGGCTCCGATTTAAAAGATATATAAACCTAAAAGTGCAAAAATAGCTGCTTTCCCTATATTTGAAGTTATGTAGCAAAAATTGTTTCTTCCCAAGCGCTTTGACGGCACCTTAAAGTATACCCCTTACTTTGGCGTTGAGTTTGTTAAAATATCTTTCATTCTCGTTGAGGAATCATATTTTCACCTTTTCAATTTTGTACATTTATATACTTTTTAGCCATAACATATACGTATACATAACTGAAAAGTTAAGAATACGATTTTTCGACCAGAATAAAAGATATTTTAAGAAACTCAACGGCATTTTGAAGTATAAGGGTTATTCTGGTTTTGGGATTCAGCCAATTCTGTCGGCCTGTGTAGTCCAATTGAGTAAAATATATTTGTGATTTCAGGTTTTTTATTTCAAAACTGCAATAAAGAAGGACGTACATATTCGTACGCATGCATTTGACAATTTAGAGCACGGTTACCCACGAACGTCCTACGTAGCGTAGCGTAGAAGGATATCAAGTTTGCTGTTGATAAAAAGAGAGAGAAGCAACTTCAACGTCACCGTCATGCGGTGGTGAGTGTTTGTTAACACGCAGATCCCATGAGATAGATCGTGACAGCTGACACGTTCTCCGTTTTTACGTCCGTGGGTAACTGCGCTTTTATACATAGGAGTAAAAATATGAAATGTGTATATATACGAGAACAAGTTTCTTACGTTTCCATGGGTTGGTATGTAAGTGCTTCCATAAGAATTTGTACGTCATTCTCTATATTCAATTTATTACATGTACATAAGTATGTATGTACATATGACAAGCACACGCATACGCATGCGCATGCTAAATATGTCTGCCCTAACTATTCGTTTCTACATAAAAATAATAATTGACCGTACGAAAGTAAAGTTATAAATGAAGCATTAGATAAAGAGCCGTTCGTTATATGGGCTAAACATTGTACCTCTTTCCGCAACTACATGCAACTTATGTACATACATACGTCTGCGCCTACTCACCTGTGCCTGTGGGTGTCCCATGTGATGTGGCAGTGTCATCTGCGCGTTCATATGATGCGCACCTATTTGATCCACCAGGGGCGGTGAGCCGCCCTCGTGCACCATGCCCAGTCCGCCCACTGCTGCTTGCAACTTACAGCTGGCATACACGACGGGCTGTTGTTGTTGGGCTGGGTGTGTCACCTGTTGCGTCACTTGCGATTGCTGTTGATGCTGAGGCGCCGCCTGTGGCTGTTGCGTCACCTGCTGCTGCGCCACTTGTTGCTGTGGTTGCTGTTGCTGAAGCAGCGGGCTGCCATTCACTTGGGGCTGTTGAGGCATGCCCACCTGACTGGAGGGACTTTCGGGCCGAGAGTATCCTTGGTGTTCCATACTCTGACCATTGTAGTAGGGCATGCGATCGTAGGGCGGGAAACGCGGGTAGGGCATATTGCCCTGGTTATTTGGATGCTGACTGTAGTGATGCATTTGTTGTGCATCGAGATCGGTAACACCATTACCCGGATAGTGGCCATGGTGCATTTCGGGCCCCATATAGGAGTTGGAAAAGTATGACGCCATACTTTCGCAATTATTTGTACTCATCGTCATATTGAAGGAATCTATCGTGTCTGTGGTAAACGTGGTGGCGGTGTTTGTGGTAACTTAGGGGTTGCGGGTTGCCGAATGCGAGAGTTGTTTGCAGGCTTACTTGCAATTGAAGAGTTACTTTTCGTAATCGCCTTGATGGGGTGGTTTTTGGAAAGGATGTGCGAGTTTAGCCGCACTTTTATGGGGTTCCTGTTGGCTGTACAGATGCTTGGAGCTACTTAGTTTCAGCTATACAATTTCTTACTCTTTTACGATTTTCTAAGCACAACAATGAACTAATACACCGTCGTAGATCCTAACCTGTTTGTAAAATAAGGTGATTATTAAAAATGTTTATTGAAAAGCAGTTAAATTTCAAAAGACTCACTTAAATCTGAACACTTATGTAAGTACAATATACAATTTTCCCTTAGCTTTAGGTATTTGAGGTATAAAAATGATTTGCGATTATACTTTACGACTTGATCTTTATTTGTATTGAGTTTTCTTTATCGCCACCAATTGTTGTTATTATAAAGTTGCGGTTTCTTTTTTGAAACGAGTAAACAAAAGCTCCAAAAATAAGTTGCAAATTTTATGATTGGGAATAAAAACTCCTTTGATGCTTCCACTTTAAGTTTGGCCTTATCTGCTACTGCTACTCATACTAATAAAAAATTTTGATTCGATTTGAAGTGAAACTCTGAAAAGAAAGTGAAAAAATAAGATAATTGGTTAGATGGTTGAATAGTGAAATATTTACATATATACAATGTTTAAATGTATGTACGGTATTTGTAAGTATTTGTATGCGAATATCCCTGAGCTTCACACACTTCGAGATCAGTATTAATATTATGTTGCAGACATATTTCAAAATACGAAAAGAATCATTTTGTCCAAAACACAATGCCGTACCACATATGCTGATCTACTTGACCAGTGGCTGTTTCTATGCTCCAGCTACACGGAGAAAGATTGTTCTTAAAATTATACATGTATGTATATAATTCTAAGAACAATCTTTCTATGTATATGTATACATACCTTCCTGTATACATACCTGGTATGTATACATACATATATTTTGCTATAATTTAAAATTATCAAAATAATAACTTCATTAAAAATTATATGTCCATTAATATAGTATGTATGTATGTACGTAAATATGTCCCGTAACATTCCCTGTTCCTCCAAAACACATTTCTTATTTCAGGCGGGAAATGCCTCGGCGTATTAAGTGTTAAATTCTTATTTGAGAGCTTGCATGATATTGTACATTTCGAAACTAGTTGATTTACTTGATATTATGCCTGTTCAACTAGTTTTCCAGGAGCAATAAATGGTAAGCCGTTTTTCAGGCGATTTCAAATTTATATGTAAACTGTTTCTGAAACTTACCAGAAACATAGGCGGAACAAGCTTAGGGTTAAAAGTAATTGGGGCCCACCATGCTATACTAATGTAAATTTCGCTCTTCATAAAGATTTAAATTTTACAAAAGTTTACCTGCGGGGGCAGGCAGGGTTTAACCCTTTTCAGTTAGCACTGTCAATTCGGCCCTTGATAAAATCGATTAATATCAATATAGGGTTTCAAAATTAGTAGTATGGCTGAGTTCTGTGAAATTTACTAGATTATCTTGATAAAAGTCAAAACATTAGGGCAATTCCTCTAAACGCGTAAATGCCTCGTAACAATGTAAACCTCATAAACTTACTTAATTTTGTATGAAAAACCGGTTTATTTACGAGGTATACGCAGTTACGAGGCATTTACGCGTTTAGATGAATACCCTGTTGTTTTTATAACCATCTACATAGCTGTCCTTTATATAATTTAGTGGAATAGAATGGAATTGGGGATGACTTTGTACTTAAGGTTCAGAGCGGGTATTTAAAGGATAGAGAAATACAAGTGAAGTGGGAATTCATCGCTCCTCTGCAAACTCTTTTGTGAAACCTAGCAGTTTGTCAAGAGAAAAATAATGTAGCTCCTCCGTTCTCAATACAACCGACTGACCCAAAAATGTACCAAGTCTGGCAAAGGCCAGACAGTGACAGAGAAAATGTTCTGTACTCATCTTCCACACCAGTTGTACACAGTTGNATTCTCAATACAACCGACTGACCCAAAAATGTACCAAGTCTGGCAAAGGCCAGACAGCGACAGAGAAAATGTTCTGTACTCATCTTCCACACCAGTTGTACACAGTTGATTGTCGATGATGCGGCATCGTTTAATAGAAAATATATACACTGGGTCGCTATCAGAAATCGCATAATCTGAGGGGCTAGTCTATAATGAGATACGAAAGAGCAATGCGATGCAATACGCAGTGGCGATTGCCTATCGCATCGGATTTCTCTTTCCTATTGCATTACAGAGTAATCCCCAAGATATAATAAAGTCAAATCTCTGCACCAAGCTTTTCAGGAAAATCAGCGCTTTTCATGCACTCTATTCACCTACAATTTTTATATCGGCGTGGCCATAACAGCGGAAAATCTACAGTTCTCAAAAGTTCATTCTCAAAAATCGAGCTGGGAAAGAAAGATACCACCCACGCAACCTTCTGGACAATAGCAATAGCCACGTTCAAACAGTTTATTAGGCATCACACCATTTTAGTAACCAACGAACGCTGGAACAACATTACTCCCTGTGAAACTTTCAGGATTACATAGTCTGTCCATAACAGGAAAATCACCTCGTTGCTCTCAATTTTAAACAGAAAATAAATGTTTTTCCCTATGAAGACTCTTACGAACCACTTCCTAATATGGAATCAGAACGGGCCTGTTTTAGCTTACATATGTGGATCTACTCTACTTAACAATCATGTAACACCGAAACGAAAAGGTTGCCAAACTGAAAAAAGGAACCAAAATTTGATATAAAAATACAAGATACAAATGACCAATTTTGTCAACAAATTACCAAAACGGCAACGCTGATCAGTATTGCACCTCGTTAAATCATAAGCCAATGCTTTGCCTTGAAAACCACAGTTTCCTGACATCCGCACAACTTCTAGCTCATTCCACTTTTCAACGGAGTTCAGCCTGAGCCTACATTTCTGGACTTCTTTTGAACTGGTGCGAGCAAGAACTTTAGAGCACCTTGCCTCTCACTGTAGACCGAATTATTTGATTATTTGCCTAGAATCCCGGGATTTTCGGGATTTTTTATTTACTCTGGTGGCAATAATAGAAACGCTTTATGTTGACCAGTTTTGGCTATATTTCTTTTGTTTATACATTTTTTTATAAATGTTAGCTCAATATATATATAATACCTTGCGGCAGGCAATTTTGCACAAAAAAAAAAATCAACATATTCGCCAAACCAAGGGCCAAATATAATAAAATTGCGTTCTTCATTTTTCTCTCTAATGTCAGGATTTTTTAAAAGAACTTTCAAATTTGAAAGATATGAGTAATTCAAAAAATGTTTTACAAATTTCAGTGCAATATACTTATAAAACAAGTATGGGTATCANCGGATAAAATCGAACTTTTCCAAAATCGAATTTCTTCTTTTTTGCAAAAAATCAACTCTTCAACTTTCTGCTTTCTGACTAAATTTGCATTCACTGTGTGTGGCACTCCATTTGTCTAAGGATTCAAGTAAAAAAATACATGTTTTTCGATCTGATGCATAAAAACAAAAAATCTGTGCAAAGAAGGAACTGTTATTCCATACTCAATTTTAAAATTATTTTTATAAAAATTAGTTTCTTAGTTGATTTTTTATTTTAAATTTTTAGAGGCTTTCACGTTGGTAGCATGAAGCCTTTGCCTGAGAAGACCCCTAGTAAAATTTTCCGGAGAATAATTTTTTAGAATACATCAATCCAGTAACGATCTGCCAAATGTGCTTTTTGCGAGATTTCTTGAAGTAAGTGTCAAAAATTACTGTTTTAGGCGGGAGCTAATGGGTTAAAATGTTCGATGAAAATATTTCCCAAGAAACTTTAATATATATGTCTCAACCTTTAATTTCGCTCAGACATTTATTTTAACTATTTTTTAGACTTTTTTGAAAACTACTTAGGCCGAGATATGAAAACTGTAGTAGGCCATAAAATAAAAATGCGAGGTAACTTTTGCAAATCCATCGAGCGTTTTACTAGTTAATGGGTATACATTCAGAAAATGTTAACAAAGTCGGGGCTGGTTTCGGCTGTGGCACAGTGTAATTTGAGTTTAACTTTTTAAACAGGTGGCCACTCTCTTCAAGCACATCAAAAATATTTAAATTGTTGCATAGTATTTTAAGTACATCACTTCTTTAACTAAATTCGAGTTTTCAAACAGGTGGACACTCTCCCAAATGTAATTAAAAAATAAAGTTTATTCAAAACTATTTCGATTGATACCCATATTGGAGTAACCTATTTAACTTATTAAATAATTTGATTTAGATTTTCCTACATATGGCACAAAACGAAAACCATGTTACACATCTAATATTAACAATAATAATAATCCCAACGGTTTTTACCCAGGAATTACAGGGCAAGCCCTTTTATTTGACACCTACCCCCTTTTTGAAAATCCAACGAACGATACAGATTTTATGACTTGGTGTTAAATATTTAACGCAAACATCTGCGGAAGCGATTATTTGAATTTGATTTTCTACCCTATGGTAACCCATTTCAAATACGAAATCTTCGATAAATCAGTTATTATTAAAGCTAATTTATTCAAAATTGATGCTTGCAACAATTCTTTATTAAGAAATGCGTTTATGATAAAATTTTGGAAAATGGGCGTGGCACCGCCCACTTATGATCACATATATGTATCTCCGTAACCGTTGTACCAATTTGTGCCAAACTCGGTATGGTTATTGTGCTGGCCACACAGAAGCAAAACGTTAAAAATTATTGAAATCGGACTAAAATTACGGCCGCTTTTCATATAACGGTAAATTCCAGAAATGTTGAAACTTCAATATTTCGAAATTTAAGGACATTAATTTACTCAAAACTGCTACACCCCGGCTTACCATGTAGCTTTCGGAAAGGTGAAAACCATATATTTAATACTTGCGGCGGGTATTGAATGTTTCGGCTCCGAACTTAGACTTTATTACTTGTTTTAAATAAATTTTGGAATTAACCATAACTTTGAAATTATAGCGAGCCCTGATGCAGAAATGCATCTACCCTGCAAACCATTTTTTCAGAGTATTCTGAATTATAGAGAAATTTTACAGAATTCGTAAAGGTCTCATCCGATTTTTTCCCCCAATTTTCTAAAATGAAGTAAATTGTGCAACCTTCGATTCTTTTACGAAATTTCGGAAGAAAATCGGTAAAGAAATCAAAATAATGCTGCTATGTGAAGAATTTTTTGCAGAAGTTTTTCAGATTTTTATTTATTTTTCGTACAGAAATTTCTTTACGAGCTCGTGTCAACCACTTCATATAATTTTCTTTGAAGATTCATAAAAAAATCGTTACAAAAATGAGATACTCCTAAAGATTTCTTTAAGATTTCGGGAACTTTGGTTTGCAGGGTAGATGCTCTAGGAATATTTCTGCATCAATAAGAAAATTTTGAAAAAAAATATCGCTTACGTTATTTTGGCGGTTAGGGCTTGATAAAGTATTAAAAAAAATCATGATGTCAGAGAAATGCCCATTTATATGCAGTAAATTGTGTGTAATATGAGGTAGACTTTTGTA